AGCAAAAGCCAATTTATCTTGGAGGAGAAGCATGACATGCTCCTCTCATCCCCGAACAAGAAATTTCAGAGTTATGAGAGACAAGGAGAGTCAATGCCAACTATGTGAAGACCTTACAGAAACACTTCTACTTTCTTCAGTGTTTTTCTCAGTGGCTAATGGAAGAGATTCTGAGCTTCCAACTGTGGAGAAATAATGCATTCTTGGGTAGTTGTTTCTGCATCTCCCGTAACTGGAGCCCCCCTTCTCTGTTGTTCTCTGGACACTACACAAAAAGCTCACCAATAGAGATAGGGCCCTTGCTGATGGATGTTATGCTGGGGGTGATACTTGTCTGGGGATTGGGAGCACTTATGTAACCTTTAACCTCTCCATGGGTCTCTACTAAGTTTAGGCATCTTAGGTTTTGCCTTAAAATCCATACTTGAAATACTCCGTTAGGAAAAAAAAAAAAATTCAACCTCGGACTTAAACAGGCCTGCCCCCAAAAGTTAAGAAAGCACTTGAATGTGTGTAGCATACCTGCCATTTCGTTCTGCTTCCTAACTCCAGCTGAGACTACAGTTGCAACACTCCCACCACAATTACGCTGTCACACATGTGGTACATCTGTCTTATTAAGTCTGAGCAGCTAAAGTGCTTCCCACTTCTGCCAGAAGTGCTCCGTTAGCCACCAGATTTTGAGCCTCCACATTTTAGTAAACTGTCACATCCTTGGAGGTTGAAAATGACCCTGAAATGAAAATCTCACCCGCAGCAAAAAGATGCAGGCTTGCTCCTTAGAGATCCAACTGAAATGACCCAGTTGTCATCAGCAGATTTTTTTTTAAGGTGTCAGTCTTTTCTTTCAACTCCCTCCCAATTTCTTGTCCCAATGCTTCTCAAAAGTAGTTAACACTCTAGAAATTTATTCCGTTTGGGCACAGAGTCTGCTTTTTGAGGTTCCCAAGGCCCACTTGCTGCCTCAGTAATATGGAAATATGAAGTCTGTACCATGCTGGGTAATTGTAGTTACATCTAAGATAGTATGCCAAAAGATTCTCAAATCTAACCCCCAAATCCAGCCCTAGAAGTCACTGAATGTATATAATATACATTCCAATACAAGGAGCCTTGGGGGGTACAGTGGTTAAGTGCTTAGCTGCCAACTAAAAACGTTGATAATTTGAACCCACCTAGGAGCTCTTGTGGCCAAGTGGGTAGGGAGTTCTGCTGCCAACCCAAAGGCATGTAGTTCAAATCTGCCAGCTGCTCCACAGGAAAAACATGGGCAATCTCCTCCCATGTGATTTACTACCTCTAAAAACCTGCTGGAGGGTCACCTATGAGTCAATTCCAATTTGATAGCAATGAACTTTGTTTTGTTTTTTAGAATAGCTCCACAGGGAGTTGTGACTTGAACCTGCCATTGACTGAGGGATAAATATGAGCACGAGATTTACAGCCTCAGAAACCTTCTGGAAGGACAACTGAGTCATTTCTGATTTGACAGCAATGAGAAATAGAGGTAGAAAGATAAAGAGGGAGGGAAGGAGAGCAACTTCATGGGAGAAACACCTACTCCCATAAAGATTACGGTCTAGAAAGCCCAGTGGGACACTTCTACCCTGAAACATGGAGTCACTATGAGTAGAAATCCTCTAGATGGTATTCACCAACATTCCAACACAGACCTCCTGACATTCAAAAGGGGTCAGGGAATTTGTCAGGAGGGCACAGTTTCCAATTTCCTTGCACTGGGCTGAAAGGTGACAGATTCTTCTGAAATGAAACATTTATGAAAATGTTCTTTAATCTTTTTTTAATAGCTCAGCAGTTCTTTGTGGCAAAATAATACCTTTCATGCTGGAAAACCCCCCACACTAGGTGTGTCATAGCTTTGACACAACTCCATTCCTGAAACACAGCTAGTTCTTGGGCAAATGTGTTAGCTACATTTTTGTAGCTACAGGAAATACATTTTTGGAATATGGAGATTGATGTACACCACAGTTTCATAAAGAGAACTGAAATAGACATGGTGAGTATGGACACAACATGGTGTCTTTCTCAGACTAGAAGGCCATCTTCAGAGAGTGTGTGGCTTCCATTTGGTACAGGGAACTCGGAATACGCTTGTTAATTCCTAGCATCCATTTCCTTAGCTCTTTGCTTCCCCGTCCTTCCTTCTTTACTTCAAAGGTTTAGACTCTCAGTGCCCTTGGAAAGCTGTAGCTCTTCCTCACACTGGCCAAATATTTGATTATTGCTGCACCCCATTATGAGAAGAGATATTTCCTCTCAGAAAGCTGACCCTGCCCTGATGTGCTCTCAGCACTCAGGGATCCCATGGGGATGCCCAGAAGGTGAGACTTGAGACAATGGGACTAGTCCCCAGTGGCCCAGTCTTCTATAAGCCAAGATTTTCTGAAGATTGTGAAGTCACAGACCTATAGGGCAAGAGAGTGAAAACTGCTTCTTTATGTAGCCCTTATTACCATTATCTCACCCTGGCCTTTTGTGTGTATCAAGCTTATAATTTTGTTTGACAAGGAAAGACTTTTAGGGGTTCTGAGCTTGAGGAAGTGTCTGCAGGGGCTCAAGATGCATCATTTAACACATATGCCTTTATCATGCCAGACTCTGGGCTGGGTAAAGGGGCATTTGCTCTCAGAGAGTTCACAGTACAGTGGGGGAGAGATAAGTAAACCAGCAACCTGTAATGGAGTGTGGCCAGTGTTGTGAATGGGGTCACATCTTATCACTGATCTGCCTGGTGAGAGGGTTGCTCAAGAAATCTTCTTTACGAAAGTGCCAATAAAACTCAGTCCAGAATGAAGAGGAAGAATGTGGAAAGAATGTTTTGGGTAGAAAAAGGAATATGAGAAATTACCTGCAAGCTAGAGAAACAGAACAGGCAAAACTCCAGATGCATCTGTGGGAGGAAGAAAGCAACCAGGTCATGAAGGGTCTTGGGCTTCAGCCTGAGAACACTAAGAAGCTGTTGGGCCGAGGACATGCCAGGAGGTAAACAGTGGAGGTAAGTGGCCCCTAACCAGCCCTTGGTTCCTCAATCGGGAACTCTACCCTGGAGGTACTAGGAGGCTCTCTTTGTGCTGCTGTTCCTGTTCTTCTGATGATAGGATTAGGGCTTTGCAAGGAAACTGGGAGGAAGGGTGGGCAGTAAAAGAACTACTAACGATGTCTCACAATTCATTAGTATTTGGTACTTACTAGGCATATGGATGTTATTGAAGGCTTGTAATGATCCCAGTCCCAATTCCAAAAGCCCAGTTTCCCTGTCAACATTTTAGCTCATGTTCTTTAGCATGATCTTCATTCCCTCTCATTGTGGTTTGAAAATGCCTCCTTAATAATAATGCACCAATTCTGCCCAGGATTTGCCTTGCTATGTTGTTGTTGTAGAGTATCATCAAGTCAGAACCACTCCATAGCTGACCTTGAAGTGGGTTTTCAAAGCCAGTTAATTGCACAGGAGATTTCCCATCCTTCTCCCACAGAGCAGCTGGTGGATTCCAATGCCTTTGTGATTGCAGTGCAATTTCTTACCAATAGGCCACCAGAGCTCCTTCTGAATCCCTCTATATCATCTATGAGCCCTGTATGAGAGCTTCTGATTGTTCACAAGTGCATCTCATGAAAGGTTGAGGGGGCTGCATTTCACGCTGAGATTGACCCAAGTAAAGTAGCAGAGATACCGTCCCTTTGCACATGCTCAGAACTCAGATTCCACTGAAGATTAAATGAAAGCCCTTGGTTTCTCATTATTGTGGTTAAGGAAAAAGCTTAAGAGAGAGGAAATGAGGATAGAGAGAAGGTGAGGAGGAACCAAAAGAGAAAAGACAGACCCAGAAAGTAAAACATGGAGAACAAACCATGAGGGACAGATTGATTAGCAGTCATGGGGATTGAGATGGAGGATGGAAAAATGAAGAAAAGCTTCAGGGAAAGAGAGAGGGAGGGAGAGAAAGAAAATGGATAAAGAAAAAGAAGTCGTCCCCCCCAGATGTTCAGAAGACACCTAGGAAAGTTTGAGGATGGGGCAAGCAGGGGGAAAGGAAGAGGCTAAAGTTGTCAGCAAATTAACAGGAAGCCAGCTCACCTTCCCTGCCTCCCTCCTCCACTCAGGGTTGAAGGCCACCTGGACTTTCTATGGGGAGGAAGCTTGTCTGAAGCTCTCCATAAGGCGAGGTCCCTGCTCTTTGTGACTCTGTGCCACCGAGCCTGCTGGGTCCCAGGCCTGGCCTGCCCCTGCCAGGGTCCCTGCTCCCTTCCTGTGAGTCAGTCAGGCTGGGGGAAAGGGGGCTCATGAAGGGGGTTTTGAGAGCTACAGGGGGCAGGCCAGTCTCCCTAGAGCTGACCTAACCAAGAAGAGGAGGCAGGGGAATGAATGCGATGAAGGGGATGGGGGTGTGCAGACTGAAGGATGGATGGACATTTTGACAAGCAGTAGACCACACCTGAAGAGGACTCAGAAGTTCTTCTGTAGCATCAACATACCCCAAATCAGAGGATTGGGGAAAATCTGCACCATCCTATGATCTCTTCCTTCTGCTCCTCCTTCTCTTCTCAGATCTGTAGCTGGTTGGCTTGAGAATACCCAGTTTCTCCTAAACATCCTTAGCTCTGATTCCCCTGGTAAAAATAATCAGAGCTAGGCTCTTTGGTCCTAGATGGGCTCCATGCTAAAAGGAAGGCAAAGTGGAGAAAGGGGAGCAGGACAGCTTGCACGCACTCCTCCCACTGGAGAGTTCCTTGCTGGACAGAGCACCTCCACAAGCGGCAGCAGCCAGCCCCAGCTCCTCTCAGCACACTGCACGCTTGGCACCCCACTCCAGCTGCTTTTGACTGTACCTTTAAATTGCAGCTTATGGAGGGTGTATCTAGGGGGAGGTGGGGGCACCCCACTCCAGCTGCTGGTGACTGTGCCTTTAAATTGCTGCTTATGGAGGCTGCATCTAGGGGGAGGTGGGGGCACCCCACTCCAGCTGCTGGTGACTGTGCCTTTAAATTGCTGCTTATGGAGGGTGCATCTGGGGGGAGGTGGGAGCGAGAGAAACATCTTCCTACCAGTCTCCCTTCTCTCTCCCTCCAAGATCCTTCAGGGTTTAGAGAGTGACTGCTGCCCATAGAGGATCTCTTTTAGATCCTCAGCTGGCTGCGGCCCTCCAAAGCCCAAGGCGAGTCCAAGCAGGAGGCGGTAGGGTTATCTGTGTCATGATCATTTCCAGAGGGATCCTTCTAGCCCTTGACTGGTAAAGACAGGGAAGCAGAAGAGAAAGCAAGAAACTCTGAGACTGGCCCTCCAGGGGCTTCTTGTAAGCAATCCAAGTTGGAGAGAGGCTTTCTGTACTTTTTTGGGGTGCGTGCTGAGGTCTCCCTTCTCACCTTAGCAACCAGGCTGAGGAAGGGCTCCAGGGTCTCGGCGGAATGACAACTCTTGCTTCTGCAACCCTCTCCTTCCTTCTTCTCTGGACCCTGCCAGGGCAAGTCCTCCTCAGGTGAGCTGAGGTGGGGTAGAAGGTAAGAAGGTGGTGCATGTGGAATGGAACTCTTAAGTCTCCTGGGTATCTAGCAATTTCCTCTAAGTTTGCAGAAAGGCCCACAGTCTGGGGGTGTCCAGGGTGAGGACAGCCTCGCCACTGTCAGGACCTAGGAGCTTCTCATTAAGCATGTCAAGGCTGGGGCTGGTGGAAAGGTTTCTGCATGAGTAAGAGCTTCTTGGATCTGAGTAGGGGGCAGGTAGGTAGCTGAATCCACAAAGGAATGCCAGCTGTCCTGTCACCCAACCCTGCCTCCATACTAGCTTGGCCATATACTGCTCATCTCCCTAAAAATAACAGCAACATTTGTTTTCTGCCTGTCTGGGAGGCTCCAAGTAGTTGGGCTGTGCTCAACAACCACATCAGGATGGAGCTGAGGTGGCCAAGCCTTAGCACTCCACAATTGCTCTGCCTAAGCTTGTGTGGCAGCTAAGTGTCCCTGAAGGAGTACTAAGCATCAGTTGGTCATTGGAGGCAATATAAGCTTTGGGCTCCCTTAAATGATCCTTCCTCTTCCCACTTTCGCACTATACCAAGAGCCAGTTTAGGTTGACACAGTGAGCTGAGAAAGAAAAATTACTCAACTGGCTAGAAGAGAAGGAAGTGAGGTGGGTACCACTATAACATCCTGTCCCTTATGCTAGGAGCACACCAGGATTGCCTGCTTCTTAGGAGCCTCCTGACCCACTGCCCACACCATGACTGTCTGACAGGTAGACAAGGATGCAATGTGGGTCAGGAAAATTCTTAAGAGTGACTGATAAGAAGCTCAAAGAGGCATGGCGACTCAGCTGGAAGGAAGCAGAGACAAGGGGGCACCCAGCTAGGATTTGCCAACCCTCCTGAGGAAAAATGCCTCTTGTCTCAATCTCTTGCTACAGCCTCCCTATGTAGGCCTGGAGGCCAGAGGTGGGCCCTTAGAGGAGCTTGAGTCAGAGGCCTTTATGGTGTGCATGGAAAGTGAGACCGAGAGAGGGACAGTGACCTGTCCAAGGTCACTTAGGTAGCTGGTGGCAGAATCCAGAATCTGCGTTCTCTTCCCAGGACTTTGTAAGGGCAGTATTTTCAGTTCTGGGACCTCTTGGGTCCTGCCAGTGTTTAGGACTTTCCAGGAATGAAAGGAGCATCTGCAGTGATTGTTATTGGGTCCTCAGAAAAGGTAGCCCTAGAAGAAAGGGGCTGCACAGGGAATAGAGCTCAAGACAACTGGGCCCACAATCTATATCAGAGTCCTAGGCCTGGGTCTGGGGAGAGAGGCGACCTGAATATGAGGTTGAGGACAAGGGGGGCGGGGGATATGTCTGGCTCCATGCGCAAGACCATGTGGCCTCCAAGTGGCCAGGTGGCAAGCAGCAGCACCTGGCCAGTATGGACATCCTGCTGTGAAACCACGGACTTCTGCTTGCTTCAGCACCATCACCAGCCTCCTTGGGCTTTCAGGGCCTATTTAGGTCACCTGCTCTGGCAGCCCTGCTGCCCACTTGGGGCTATGGGAGCCTTTGTTTCCAGGGGAAGGGCTTACTCTTGTCCAGGCAATTCAAGGAGGTAGTGCTCTTGGCAGAGAGGTTGCCATTGACCTCCCACTCTGAGATTGCTGCCTACCCTGGACTACTGTATAATGGTGGTGTGATGGATAGACAGTTTCAAAGTCCAATTGTCCTGGGTTTAAAGCTTGACTTTGCCACTTACTGTCTCTGGATTGACATGGTAACTGTGACTCAAGTATGTTAGAGATTGCAAGGATGGCATAGGATCGGTCAAGTTTCCAATTTGTTGTTCACAGGAGTGCTATTAGTTGTATTCTATTCAATGGCATCTAACAACAACTGTCTCTGGTGAAATAGTCTGTGGAAGTTGCACTGCTAACCCAAAGGTCACCAGTGACTCCTTGGGAGAAAGATAATTTCCTCCCATGACATTTAAAGCCTCAAAACCCCACTTTAGAGTCAGCTATAAGTCAGTTCAAACTCAGTGACAATGAATTAAACGGTATAATCCCCCACCTCTATGCGGAAGAGTGTGGCATCAGGATTGGAGGGAGACTCATCAATAACTTATGTTATGCAGATGAAAATGAGGAGGGCTTGAAGGACTTGTTGCAGAAGATCAAGGAATGCAGCCTTCAGTATGGATTGCATCTCAATACCAAGAAAACAAAGATTCTTCCCACTGGACCGATAGACAATGTCATGATGGATGGAGAGGAGATTGAAACTGTCAACAGCTTCATCTTGCTTGGATCCAAAATTAACACCCTTAGTACAAGCAGTCAGGAAGTAAGGAGATGCATTGCACTGGGAAAATCTGCAGTTAGTCACTTCTCCAAATTACTGGGGAGTAGTGATGCCAGTTTGAGGACTAAGGTGTGCCTGATTCAGGCTATAGTCTTTCTTATCATAAAGATGACAGAAAAAGAATTGACACCTTTGAGCTGTTGTGCTGGAGAAGAGCTCTGAACATCCCATGGATGGCCAACAGAATGAACAGATAAGTCTTAGAGATGGTGCGTTGCTAGGAGGTGCTAGAGGAGTATTTTGGATATTGGTATATTGGACATGATATTTGGAAGAGTGGAGGGTCAGCGAAGGAGAGGAAGGCCCTCAACCAGGTGGATTGATATGGTGACTGCTGCAATAGGCTCTTGTGTGTCAGGAAGTATGAGGATGGCGCAGGATAGAACAGGGTTCAAATTTTTTGTTCATGGGGTCGCTATGAACATGAGTCGTGCTCATCTATCTCGATATCACCTGACAACAACAACAATATCCTTCACCTCACTGATCCATAGTATCCTCATCTCTGTGTTGTTGTTGCTGTTAGGTGCCACTGAGTTGACTAGGACTCATAGCAACCCTATGCATGACATCTCTGAATCCTGACCTATCCTGAGCCAATCTCACTATCTCTGACATGCCTAACCTCATTACCCCAGTGTCAATCCATCTCATCCAGGGTCTTCCTCTCCTATGCTGTACATTGACCCTTTCAAGCATAATATCCTTCTCAAAAGGCTGGTCCCTCCTGGCCACATGGCTAAAGTATGTGAGAAAAAGTCTCAAAATCCTTGCCTCCAAGGAGCAGCTTGATTTCACTCTCTCCAGGACAGACTTGTTAGTTCTCTTGGCAGTCCATGGTATATTTAATGCTCTTCTCCAGCACCACAAGTCAAAGGCACATATTCTTCTTCTGTCATCCGTGGTCATTGTCCAGCTCTCTGATGGATAGCAAGTAATTGTGAAAACCATGTAATGGGGTTGAAATAATATTCATCTGAAAGAGCTAATGCAACAGCTAATACAATAATGTGTGTAATGTGTTTAGCAGGATGCTTTAGCTATGCCTTTATTATTCTTTTTCCCCCTGGAAGATGTATAGGATCATCATCATCTGATGATGATGATAGTCATCAGACTCAGACAAGCTCAGAGAAGACAAGAACCCAGAAGGAGGGCAGTTACCTTGCCTTCTGGTGGCACAGAACAGTGGCATCAGTGATAGTGGTGACACTGACTCCACTGCTTGCAGTAGTGATGATGGCAGAATGGAGAAGGCACACATCCCAGCCAAGAGTCTAGCCTAAGCTCAACTTTGAGCCTCACCCCCTCCCTAAGCCTTCAGTGCGCACTCAGTCCCTATTCTGTTAGCATGTGAAGAGGGCTTTACCGCTCTTAGAGGGGAACATACTTATCAGGGGGAAAGTGGAAGAGTTTCTAGGTTAGACTGAAGCACACAAGCCTCCTCCTTAAAATCAAACTGTTGGGGTAGAAGAAGATAGGAGCTTACTAACATGGATACTCTGCTGGGAAGCTTTCCACCTAGATCCATGGCAAAAAGAGTTTACCTGTCTGTAGCTACCACACCCCTAAGCTCCAGTCCAACTCATAGCTTCCTCTTGAAGAAAATGGCAGAAACTAAGCCTTCCATGTTGGAAGTGGTGTCTGAGATCCTAAGCAGGCCAGCATGAAACCACAGCAACTGAAACTGACTCGAGAGGCAGGCTGTCCTTGAACTCTTCAAAGTCTTGCCTAGGCCTGAAGGGTAAAACATTGCAGCAGTCATATTCTTTCCAGTGACAGGGGTAACTCTTCTCTGAGGACATTCAAAGACCTTCAGAAAGAAAATACTGGTTGAGACCTCCAACCAGTGTTTGAGTCTTGATGCTGGCACTCATTAACTTGGAGACTTTGGATGGGTCAGACCTCTCTTAGAGGCCTCCATTTTCTCATCTATAAAATGGAAATACAAGCTCTCATCCTCATCTCTGACAATTGTGAGAGTAAAATGATCTACAATAAGCCAAAGCACTTTCCTAAGTTGACTATGCAAAGGCATTTGACTGTGTGGATCATAACAAACTATAGCTGACTCTGAGAAGAATGGGAATCCCAGAACACTTGATTGTTCTAATGCGAAAACTATACTTGGACCAGGAGGCAGTCATCAGAACAGAGCAAGGGAACACTGCATGGTTCAAAATTGGGAAGGGCGTACGCCAGGGATGCATCCTAGCTCCATACCTTTCCAACCTATATGCAGAACAGATTATCCGGGAGGCTGGGCTCTATGAGGAGAAATGTGGGGTCAAG